CCCCCCCCCCCCCCGAAGGCGCACTTTATCCTTTGCAAGTGTTCCCCATTTCAATGCATACATCATTCAGAGACAAGAAAATGTCTGAGAGACACAATCACCTGCTGCTTAGTGTCTACCATCTTCTTAAAGGAGAACTCTAGTTTCTGCATCTCTTATTTAAACGACTTGTTCTGCACATTGAAAACAAGAATGAGCATTTGCTGCAATATTTAAACCCATCTCTGGGTAAACCAAAATAATATCCATGCAGTGGGGCTACCACGGCACTGAAAGGGCTAAGTGCTTGTTTATCCCTAGGGGACTGGTGTAAATAACTTTTTACCTGATCCCCACTCCCCCTAGTCATCAGCGCTCTCCTCTCTCTGCTTGGGCTGGTTGGAATGTCCCTCAACATCCTCTCGTCTAATGTAGGTCCTTGGACCACCGGACCGGTCTATCAGCCTAGAGGATAGCAGGGCTGAGGTAGGTAACAGCTTTTTCCTGCACCCTAGTTATAAACCAGCACTTAAAGGAGTATTATGAGGCGAGTGATTTTCACTCACCTCGTAGTTCTAGCCGACCTGTGACAATGAGACTGTCACAGGTCGGCTCAGTAGATCGAGAAGTGAGCGAACACCTACCGGCGTTCGCTCACCTCTCGATCCTGTCATGATCCTGTCATCCCCGCTCCGATCCGCCAGCGCTGATTGGCAGGTCATCTACGTCGGGATCCGCTCCGGCTGCGGCGTCTCAGTATACCGTGAGCTGTAGCTCGCGGTATACTGAGCTTAGGGTGACGGGAGGACGCTAGTTTGTGTCCTCCGTTACCCTAAGGAGAACTATGGGGAAAAGCCATAACCCCATAGTTCTCCTTTAACCTGTGGGATGCGGGGGTAGCTCCACTGCAAGGATAGATTTTTGGTTCACCCGAAGATGGATCATAAGCTGGCCATACGCCAGTAGAATTTTGTTAAATAAAATAGTTTTCAGAAAATTGGTTCAATTTTCTAAGAATGAATGGCGTCAAATTGATGGTTGTTGACCATAGCAAGAAAAAAATGGTAGGAGCAGGATGAAAATATTCTCTCGAAGAAGAAAATTCTGACAGTGAATTTGGTTTTCAACCAAGTCAGCTTCCATATTTCCTCTGTCACAGGTCCTCTTTAAAAGCGGGCACCTCTAGGTCCTGGCATGTAGCTTTTGTTTCTTTAGAGTCCCGATGGCTCTGCAGGTAAGAGCGCTGGCACACCTCGTTCTGTACCCATCAGTGCAGTACGCTGTGACCTTCTGAACAATAGAGAAGCTCACACATTGCAGAGGGGGAGTGCCGGGATATCAGCTTTGAGAAAGACAGCCAACATTTGCATAGAGAATCAGGGGATCTCAGGACAAGACCCCCCAATGAACGAAAGTGTAGACTATATGGCCAAACGTTTGTGGACATCTGACTATTACACCTACTATATGGTCAGAATGATGTGGACACTTCTCCGAATGATGGAGTTCAGGTGTCTCCAGTAAAGGGTCCTGTTAATGTTACATCATACACAGACATTTTGCACTATTGAGCTCTTCCAGCTTTGTGGTAACAGTTTGGAAGGCTCTTTTCTGTTCCACCATGACTGTCTCCCGTGTGCAATGCAAAGCCGGCTCCATAAAGACATGGTTTGACCAGTCTGGTGTGGCGGAACATGAGTGGAAAACCCTGACCTTCATCCCAACCGCCAACATCAGTACCCAACCTCACAAATGGCCATAAATTCCCCCGGGCATCCATCAAAATCATGTGGAAAGCCTTCCTAGTAGAGTGGAGTCTGTTATAACCTCGAATAGAGAGGACCATCTCTGTATTGATGGCCATGGTTTTGGATTGGGATGTCCAATAAGCTCATATAGATGTGATGGTCAGGTGCTCACATTCTTTGGACCATATAGTGTATGTGCCTTGAGAATCCTGATTGGTAAGATGTCACCTTTATACCATTCACTAAAGATAACAGCATCTGAGGAAAGCAAAGCCTCAGCAAGGTCACAGCTCTGTGTCCTTGTTCACATACATTGCGTTAAACACAGATCTCTGCAGTGGCAGTAAATGTCACAATCTTGATATATGTAATCCATAGCAGCACCAAGGTAAAAAGCTGAATCGGAGGCTGCAGAATGGTTTACAGTTACACTGAAGGACATTGGCGGCCTGTGTACCCGAAGTGTGATGATCCTAGGGTCATTAGTGGCCTGTGTACGTAAGGTGTGATGGTCCTAGGGTCATTGATGGCCTGTGTACCAGAAGTGTGATGATCCTAGGGTCATTGGTGGCCTGTGTACCAGAAGTGTGATGATCCTAGGGTCATTGGTGGCCTGTGTATCCAAGGTGTGATGATCCGAGGGTCATTGATGGCCCGCGTACCCGAAGTGAGATGGTCCTAGGGTCATTGGTGGCCTGTGTACCCGAGGAGAGGTGGTCCTAGGGTCATTGGTGGCCTGTGTATCCAAGGTGTGATGATCCGAGGGTCATTGATGGCCCGCGTACCCGAAGCGAGATGGTCCTAGGGTCATTGGTGGCCTGTGTACCCGAGGAGAGGTGGTCCTAGGGTCATTGGTGGCCTGTGTACCCAAGGCGGCATAGTCCGAAGGTCATTGATGGCCTGTGTACCCGAAGTGAGATGGGCCCAGGGTCATTGGTGGCCTGTATACCCGAGGTGTGATGGTCCTATGGTCTTTGATGGGCTGTGTACCCAAGGTGTGATGGTCCTAGGGTCATTGGTGGGCTGTGTACCCGAGGTGTAACGGTCCTAGAGTCACTGGTGGGTTGTGTACCCAAGGTGGAATGGTCCTAGCCCAGATAGCAAGCAATAGAGCTGCAAGTTTGAAAATGACTTGCTAAACTATTGCAGACTTGCCGAGCTTCACAATTTTGTTGCACAATTACAGCGAGTCCGCATTGCAAGTCTCCAGACCAGCGAGCTTGCAGAGCTCTTGCTAAGACCTGCAGGACTCTTGCTGTAGACTTGCCAAGCAAATTTGCTACAAATTCAAAAAGTGTCGCCTAGAACTTGTGCTGCGAGTGTTCTGCACGTCTACAACCTGCCAGGAATGTGTGCAAAAAGTTAACAAGAATTACAATTTAACCCTGACACAAGTTTATGGCAAGTTATCCTTGCTATCTGGGTGGGTCTTTGGTGGCCTGTGTACATGAGATGTGATGGTCCTAGGGTCATTGTTGGCCTGTGTACCCGAAGTGTGATGGTCCTAGGGTCATTGGTGGCCTGTGTACCCGAGGAGAGATGGTCCTAGGGTCATTAGTGGTTTGTGTACTCAAGGTGTTATGATCCGAGGGTCATTGATGGCCTGTGTACCCGAAGTGGGATGGTCCTAGGGTCATTGGTGGCCTGTGTACCCGAGGAGAGATGGTCCTAGGGTCATTAGTGGTCTGTGTACTCAAGGTGTGATAGTCCTGGGGTTATTGTTGGCCTGTGTACCCGAGGGGTGATGGCCACCTCAATGGGAGATGGACACGGATAGCGTAGGATACAGTAATTATTGTGCTGCAGAGGTCACTTTTGCATTTGGAATTTGTATTTGTAAAATTCGGCACTCCAGCTGTGGTGAGACTACAAATCCCACCATGCATATGCCTCTGGAAGTCAAGCCTGTGGCTGTCAGAGTCTTGCAATGTATCATGGGACATGTAGTTCCGTAACAGCTGGCCTGCCAAGGCTGCCTTCCCCCGCTATTGATTGATTTCAGCATTTCCCGATTCTCATCACTCTCTCTGTCTCCCTGATTGGACTGTACACTGTTGCTGCAATGAGCAGACTGCCGGGAGCTGCCCTCGTTGCACAGACGGCCGTGCCAGATGCTAGCCAGCTGCCTGCACCGAGCCCCGGACCAGCAGGGGTTAACTTGCCTGCAGCTGGGGACCCGAGACAAAGAGCAGCCACAGGCCCCGCCCACCCACTGACATCTAGCCCCGCCCCGGCCCGACGTCAGAGCATTCTGCAAGAGAATACAATAACAGACACAGCCGTGATCACACCGATACACTGACCGCTGATCCGGAGGGATCCCGGGGCTGGGATCGACTAGGAGAGGGGATCCAGCACTGCAGACATGGTGTCACCCGTCACTGTGGTGAGTGAGCCCAGAGGGAAAGTGGGGGCAGGATACCCAGAGAGGGGGATGATGGGGGGCATCTATCAGGTGCCCTCTTTTTGTGATACATTGTTATTATTATTATTATACAGGATTTATATAGCGCCAACAGTTTGCGCCGCAGCGATTCTGAGCTGCATCATCTACTGTATATTGACCATGCTTCATCATACATTGTATACAGAGCAGAGAATGCTGGGATCAGAGTGATACATTGTATACAGAGCAGAGACTGCAGAGCTCAGAGTGATACATTGTATACAGAGCAGAGAATGCTGGGATCAGAGTGATACATTGTATACAGAGCAGAGACTGCAGAGCTCAGAGTGATACATTGTATGCAGAGCACAGACTGCAGAGCTCAGAGTGATACATTGTATGCAGAGCAGAGAATGCTGGGATCAGAGTGATACATTGTATACAGAGCAGAGACTGCAGAGCTCAGAGTGATACATTGTATACAGAGCAGAGACTGCAGAGCTTAATGTGATACATTGTATACAGAGTAGAGACTGCAGAGCTTAATGTGATACATTGTATACAGATCACAGACTGCAGAGCTTTATTGAAATACATTGTATACAGAGTAGAGACTGCAGAGCTCAGAGTGATACATTGTGTACAGAGTAGAGACTGCAGAGCTTAATGTGATGCATTGTATACAGAGCAGAGACGGCAGAGCTCATTGTCATACATTGTATACAGAGCAGTGACTGCAGAGCTCATTGTGATACTTGTATACAGAGCAGAGACTGCAGAGCTCAGAGTGATACATTGTATGCAGAGCACAGACTGCAGAGCTCAGAGTGATACATTGTATGCAGAGCAGAGAATGCTGGGATCAGAGTGATACATTGTATACAGAGCAGAGACTGCAGAGCTCAGAGTGATACATTGTATACAGAGCAGAGACTGCAGAACTCAGAGTGATATATTGTATACAGAGCAGAGACTGCAGAACTGAGTGATACATTGTATACAGAGCCGAGACTGCAGAATTCAGAGTGATACATTGTACACAGTGCAGAGACTGCATAGCTCAGAGTGATACATTGTATACAGAGCAGAGACTGCAGAGCTCAGAGTGATACATTGTATACAGAGCAGAGACTGCAGAGCTCAGAGTGATACATTGTATACAAAGCAGAGACTGCAGAGCTCAGAGTGATACATTGTATACAGAGCAGAGACTGCTGAGCTCAGAGTGATACGTTGTATACAGAGCAGAGACTGTAGAGCTCAGAGTGATACATTGTATACAGAGCAGAGACTGCAGAGCTGAGTGTGATGCATTGTATACAGAGCAGAGACTGCAGAGCTCAGAGTGATACATTGTATAGAGAGCAGAGACTGCAGAGCTCAGACACATTGTATCTTTTATGTAAATATAGTATTCCGGTCAGTGTCTGCTGTATTTCCTATGTATCTGTGTACAGTGTGACACCTTCTAATATTCACCCAACATTCACTTCATGACATATATGTTCTAACAACTATCTACCTAT